CGGGACCACGCTTCCACCACACGAACCCTTGGGGAAACTCAAGACTGTATTCACAGTTATCATTTTTTGCTGTGACAATGGCATTTTATTTATTTATTTATTTATTTATTTATTTTTTAGTTTTAGGTGGACACAATACCTTTGTTTTTATGTTGTGCTGAGCTCGGCTCGAACCCAGTGCCTCACACATGCTAGGTGAGCACTCTACCACTGAGCCCCAGCCCCAGCCTGACAATGGCATTTTAAAAATGAGATTTCAATCATTTATGGGTTGAGAACAGTATCAGTGATTTAATTACTCAACGTTTACAGAAAGCAAGCTGAGGTCTACAAAATTAGATGGTCCATGTTGTGATGCTGCAAAATTGGTTATAAAAAATTTAATGTGAATCCTACAGTTTTGAAATTGGTTGAGAAGATGTTATGGAATTTTCTTTTGTATGTGAAGAAAGTAAAAATGATGAATATAAACCTGTAATTTTTGGTGGGAGAGAGCTTACTCTCAAAAATAAGAAGGTTTTAGCACTAACTGAAATGCAGAAAGCTGTTCAAAGAGACACATTTCTGTTTTCAAGTTGGTGATGAGATAACTTTAAGATAATTTGAAGGAAAGTGTTTGGTCTTAGTATTAACAACCTTCTCATTATACTTATTGAGTCATAAAAATTTCGGTGGCTGAAAAATTTTGTATAAAAATATCCTGGTGATACTACTGACATACTTGAAAAAAAGATCCACCAATGTTTCATTTATAATTGCCATGGTTAAACATTTTATTCACTTTACAGTGTGTTTGTTTCATTAAACTTCATTTTATTATTAATTTTATCTGATGATTTATAATGGTAACAGAACGACTGTATTAGTTATGCTAATTAGAAGAGCATTCCAAGCCCAGTTTTGTAAAATATTGGCGTTAATACTATGCAAACATAAAATGAACATTCACTTTATTCTACTACTGCAATTACTGTTCCAGRCAGAAGAACAGCATTGTGAGGTCCTGGCAGTGAGCAGCAGTGTGGTTGGGGGAATTCACACAGTCTGTCCTGCTGGAGGTAGGCAGGCTGTGAGATGGGAACTGAACAGGTGAATCGTCTGCTGCACGGCCCGCTCYTAGCTCCTGATTGTTCTGGATTTGATCTCCTCCTTGGGAGCTCATGAATTTATATATGAAAGTGCTCATCCGCTCTGGGMTTCCCTTTCCTCCTTTGCAGCTGAGAACACTGGTACCCGATGTCCAGGCCACAGGATCAGMATGAGTTTAAAGGAGAGCAATCTCTGCACAGGGGAGAAGTTCCCTGCTCCTCTCTGGTCTTTTGCTTACCGTGAGCTGYCTCTCAACTGACTCTGCTTTCCAGGAATCTTCCACAAAGAGGTTTTCCTCCTCCCAGACTCGGTCCGCATGCTTCCCAGGTCCAGCATGGCCCCTTGCTTCCTGTGGGGGTTCCCAGCATCCCCCTCCTGGAATGCAGCACTCATCGCTGATGTTACCGGAGAACTTCAGGAAAACCRCTTTCTTATCTGGATGTTTTCTTAAATAATCTCAATTAGATGTTCTCTGTCTCTTGGGAAAGTGATGAGGTTAGTGCCCTGTGAGGATCTGTGTGTTTCTTTCTAGAAAACAGACCATTCCAAGAAGGGATAAAACATGTAAAAGTTGCAAATCCTTGTAAGATCATTTGCCACTTCACCTATTTAATTCAAGTCTCTCACAACCTGCCTACCACCTGGTAAAAGTCTCTGTTTAGAAATCTTGCTTGATTTCTTTTTTTTTTTTTTTTTTTGGTACCAGGGATTGAACTCAGGGGCACTTGACCACAGAGCCATACCCCCAGTCCCATTTTGTATTTTATTTAGATATGAGTCTCACTGAGTTGCTTAGCGCCTCACTTTTGCTGAGGCTGGCTTTGATCCTCTTGTCTCAGCCTCCTGAGCCACTGGGATTATAGGCGTGCACCACCACGCCCAGCATTTGATTTTTTAAAAACTATGTTAAAAAATAGAAAATACCCCCATCCCACCCTTATCGGGTCGCAGGTGAACTTAAGAGCATTCTGATTAGATGTCAGCACTGGGCTATTACTTCAGCCCAGAGGGACTCAATGTGGGGAGAATATTTCCCCATTTGGARCGGCCTCAGCCGTGTTAGCAGTGTCTGGCCTGTACGTAAGGTCTTCCTCCCCCAGCAGTCCTGGGGCCCGAACCATTCAGCTGATGGAAGACTCCCAACTTTAGGCAGGAGGCAGTAWTAATGGTGATATCTGGGTAGTTCTTGCACCTGCCCCTTTTAGAAGGTGCTGTGGAGAGATGTGTTCCTCCAATTTATTTGTTGAAAACTTAATGATCAACAGTGTTGGGAGGCGGGYCCTTTGGGGAGGTGTTTGGGTCACAAGGAGCCCTCGTGAGTGGATCAGTGACACTGTACCAAGGTGCGCGGGAGTGGAGTCACTCTTCTTGCTCTTCTGCCTCCTACACTGTGAGGGACCAGCAAGAAAGCCTGCATCTGAATGCTAGGCCCTGATAGTGAGCTTCTCAGACCCACTGGGAGGAAACACCTTCTGTTCATTATACATGACCCGTGTGTGGCATTGTGTGACAGACTAAGACAGGAATAAAGACATAAAATTCTTTCTCACTTGATATTAAAAAAAAATGTTGTGCCAAAAAGTGGAGGTGATTCCTATTTTGGCTGATATTCGTGTAGTTCATTTCATCTCCTTTGGATTTCCTTTGGATTTCTTATAAACTGTGATCCTTTCTGGTTGTGACAGTTCATCACTTGGTCATCACTTGGTCTAAATAGTCCCATGAGTATGGGAATGCGGCAAACCAGGAGTCAAGAAACTTCCAAAACTGGAGGCGAATATTTGGGTGCTGTTTCCCGCCCCTTGTAACCCTTCCACCTGACAATAGCCTGGGGTTTTRATCTTGCTTTGGTYAGTGTGGCCCTGGGGAAGGTGTGGACTCTTTGACTTTGGCTTTGTACTGGGCCCTCTGATGGGCTGACGCTACCTACCTCACAGTGTTATGGATTAAGTGAAAGAAGAGTGACTGGCACTCAATAGAGTCAACACCTGGTTCCTCCTGCGGCTTACTTCTTCTTGTGGTGTACGGTATATAGTCAAGGGAGTTGTGTGTCCTTGTCTAGGTCAGTGTAACGGATTGTTGTGCTTTCATGTTGCCTCAGCCTTCACTGTGAACCTACRTTTAACTTTCCGGCACCAGAAGCAGGGTTCATTCACTTTCCACACCAGCTCTACATCCAAATGGCTCGAGCTGGAGGCCGGAGTAAGAACTGAGGTGCGTCTCTCCTGTCTAGCACAGTGGGCTCCCCGCTCTCACTGTGTCTTTTAAGTGAACCGCCCAGCATTTGCCCACAAATGTGAAGTTTCGTCCCGTGTCCCTATATACTCTCTCTGCCTCTTYATTCCTGCCTTGCGTGACCTGGGCACAGAGGGCTGTCCTCTGACTCATTACACCCTTCTTGCCAGAGCCTGAGAGTCAGAGTCCTGAACATGCGCCCCGACGCGGTGGTGCGTCGATCTTGCTCCTTCCATCTGGGGAACCTGGGCTTCCCTGGAGGGGTTTTCCTGGGGCCTCTGAGGAGGACGCGAGGTCAGGGTCCTAGTGCCAGAGTGATGGTCAGGCAGGCAGAGGCTGAAGCTCACACAAGAGCCACAGGACAAATGCCAGTGTAAACACGCTTCAGGTGTGAGGGACCCTGGGTCATGGRCTGGTCACGGCTTTAGGCTGTCCACCAGGGAAAGCAGTGTCCTGTGAAAGGCACACAGCCTTCTGTTCCACGTCATTTCCTGCTGGGGCCTGGTTGCCAGTTGCTCTGCTGCTGGGGGCTCTCAAAACAGTAAGTTAAAACAGTGAACTTTGATTTTCAAAAACAAACAGTCTGAAAAAGTCGTAAGGAAGCACCCCCTTTACAATTCATTCCTCCTGGTGGTCACCTCGGTAGGACTTAAGAAATCACTTTCTAGGGCTGGGGATGTGGCTCAAGCGTCAGCGCGCTCGCCTGGCATGCGTGCAGCCCGGGTTCGATCCTCGGCACCACATACCAACAAAGATGTTGTGTCCGCCAAAAAATAAATATTAAAATTCTCTCTCTAAAAAAAAAAAAAAAATATCTCTCTCACTCTTTCTTAAAAAAAAAAAAGAAATCACTTTCTAATTTAGTAAGTCATAATTTTAGCTTTAATACAAATTATTTATTTCTAAACCAAAGCACACACAGTTGTGGCAATTTGTGTGACGCTGWTATCAGTAGTGCTAGAGTACTTTGAATTCTATGAAAATTCCTTAACTTAGGAGATTCAGTTCTTCCAAATAGACAATTACTGGGGAAGTTATCTTCTTCAGACGCTGTGTCAGAGCTCAGGCCTCAGGCTGCCTGTGTCAGTACCTTGTGTCCATCGTTTACGGGTTGTGTCCCTCTGACAAGTCTCTTAACTTCTCTGGACTTTAGTTTCCTTATCTGTAAGAAGAGAATTACAATAATTCTGACACCATCAAATTTTTATGAAATTAAATGAGTTCACCATATGCAAAGTACTTAGTACCTGGCCCATAGTAATTGTTTAATAATTGTGATTATGATATTCTACAGCAAAAAAGAATAGCCTAAAATATACAGATGTGCTTTGACTTATGATGGGGTCATGACCAATAGGCTTATTGTAAAATACCATATAAGGAGAAGGCGTATACATATCCGACCTATTCACAGCTCATCAACACCGTACACTGGAGAGTGCCTGGTTGCAGGCTGCCTGGGAGCTGGGGCTCACTGTTGCTTTCCAGCATCACATGAGTATTGGATGCCCATTGCTAGCCTTGGGAAAGATCATAGRTCAAAATTCCAAGTATGGTTTCCACTGAACAATACAGCTTTCCCGCCATCTTAAAGTCAAAACATCGTGTCAAACCATCCTATGTTGGGGACTTGTCCATAGTCTGTTTGACCTGACCATCTTCATTCTGTCTGACAGGGTACACACTGCTACACTGTGCTGCAGCCTGGGGTCGTCTGGAAACTTTGAAAGCACTAGTGGAGCTGGATGTTGACATAGAAGCTTTAAACTACAACGACGAAAGAGCTCGGGACGTGGCCGCTCGGTATTCCCAGACTGAGTGTGTTGCGTTTCTGGACCTGGCAGGTGAGGAAGCTCCACAGTGGAMACGGATTGATCTGATGGACGGGGACAGTTAGCATCTTCACCCTCCATCTAGATGTTTTATTGTAGGTACCTCCACAGTAATTTTTGGCAATAACATGAAATCTTCTTTTCTGTTTCACTATTGGCCTAACCTATTGCACTTGGTAGGAGCTGTATGTATTGGAAATTGTGAACTTACCAGCTGATAATGATTTAACAACTTATTTTTTATAAGCCTATGCATACAACATGTTCAAGGCTGTTTTCTTACTCAGGCAAAGTAGATGATGATTCCTTAATTGTTTAAAAATTAGCATATTTTAGTAATATGTTCAATTTCCCAGATAAAAAAATTTATAATTAAGAAATATTTGTTTGGGTAAAGTTGATCTATGGTGTTAGTAATCAGAATAGTAGTTACCCTGAGGGCATGGAGGATTTCTGGGATGTAGTGTCTTTTTCTTAATTTGTATGCAGGTTCTGAAAATTTATTGAGCTGTATACTTATAATTTGTCACTTTTTTGTTTGCATATTGCAGACTTCAATACATAGTTCAGAAAGCTACGTGCTACGGCCATATAGATAGAGCTGAAAGAAGTTTTAGGAAAATATGCCCGCATAACTTCGTATGTGTGCAAACATTGGCTTAAAAACCCAGTACTTATGGAACCCACAGCATGCATTTTTGCCCTGCATTCAGGTTTTTAGCAAGCATTTATTCAATGCCCACTATTCCATATGCCAGTCTTCTTGTGGGTACAACTGGTTCCCGCCTCTGGATATTTGTTGGATAAACACAGCCAACGGTTATGTGACTACAGCAGGAAGATCATGATGAGGGCAGAGCAGGTGGTCCGTGCCATGGGGGATGGGTGGGATTTGAAGGCACAATAAAAGGGAAGGAGCATGAGCAAAGATGACTCGGAATGAAGGTGGCATGTGGGGGTCAGGGGGAAGGTCGCTTTACTGGAGCAGCAGGTCATGGTTGGCACAGGTAGGCTGTAGCCCAGGTAGAATAATGGAAGGGTTAACTACATGGCCGCTGGTGTTTCCACCCGAAACCTCTGTGACCTTGGACAGTTACTTCAGTTCTCTATACCTCAGTTTCCCTTTCTAAAAAAGGGGCAATGGCAGTGTTTTCTCSAGGGTTTGAGAGTGAAATGAGGTGGTGCAGAGCACCGAGCACAATACCTGTCATGTGGTCAACGTTTGGAAAATGCTGCTGCCACAACCGCAGCCAGAGCATACCCTGAGTGCCAGGCCCAGCTGCTCTCATTAGGTTCTGGGAGCACGTTAGTGAGTATGGATTCCGTCTTAGTTGAATGGAAATCCAGACATCTTTGGAAAATTTCAGCAATAATTGTGGCCAAAAAAAAAAAAAAAAATGGTTGAGGCTCCTAAAGAACCTTAGATAAGTTCCTCTCAACAGATTCCTTTGCAATCTCCATATTTGACTGAGCTACATTTGCATGTGTGCGTGTTTAGTGTCCTCTGGCTCCTCCTCCTCCTCCTCCTCCTCCTCCACTTTTCTTCCTCTTTAATTCGCGGTGCTTAACTTTCTTAGAGGAAGAATGGTGGGACACCTGCTTCAGGTACTTGGTCATCATTGACGTGGTGGCCAGCAGTCTGCAGAGTATTTGGTCAATGTCATAGATGGATGGGCTTTCTAGAGCTTTGCCAGATTTATCTAAGGAGGCTTGCTTTTTCAGCTGAAAGGAGAGAAGCGAATGACATAGATTGCATCTTAGTTTGAATTTAATTCATATTCTGAACATATAAGCTTAAATTCTATTAAAATACACAATCCATTATTTACGCAAAAGAAAGCTTACTCTAGAAGAAAAGTATAAATGCAGAAGAAATGCTCATTTATATACACACACGGTATCGGACTAGCAGGACCTTGATCACTGTCAGCCAACGTGTAACTAGTGCTGTCTGTGTTAGAGCACTCTGCTGGGAGGAATTATTTCAATTTTAGCAGAATGTTTTCCTTCCTAAACATGCAAGACCATAAAATCAAAGGCATTTTTAAAATAGGGTAACACTTGTAGATGTCTAAGTTTTCCTGAAGATCAGGGCGTTTTCTGGTTGGTGTCTGTTGTCTGGGCTTGGCCAGTGAGTCTTTAAGATTGTCTCAAACTGTGGTGTCATCTGTTGGCAAAGTAGTGAATTAGTTAAGGARCTCTGTTCCCCAAAAAGCCATCCTAACATTAGAAATGAGTTTACAGTCCATTTTAAAAGTACATGCCAACTTTCTTACTTAGCTTTTTAGATAGATCACTGTCATCCAAGAGATCTGTTGTTCCAGACCCTTGGTTTTACAGGGCAGCCGGGGAGGAGCGAACAGAGCCCAGACAGACAGTGCCCCTTTCTGCACTTTCCTCCCGAGGTGACACCCTGTGTTTCTGCTCTGCTTTGAGACTTGAAACAGAAGGGCTGGGCCAGGTGATTTTAAGGCCCTTCTATTCATTACACACTTGTCGAGCACCTGGTACCAGCAAGTCACTCTGCAGGATGCTGGGGAGGAGCGGGAGGGGCAGGTGGCAAAAAGGAATAACCCTTCTTCACAGGAATGGCTGATCTTATGTTCTAAACTCTGAGATGCTGTGACTGTTACCATTTACATCATGAATTCACCTTTTTTTGGTGTTTCTTCCATTTTATCCACAGATAATGCCCAGATAAGACGGACAGGATTACAATGAGAGCTTGTGCTATGATATAAGTGAGGTGCAAACAACTCTGAAGTAGATCCATGTTAGCGAAGCTGCAGCACAGTCTGTCCAGGGGGTAGGGTAGACAGTGAGAGGCMGAAGGCTTAACTTTCAGATAGTGCACTTCTTCTGGAAAAATCTCCCATCCAACCTTTGTCCAGATTGTTCCATCACAAATGCAGACACTCTCCCTGAAGAAGCAGGTGAGCAACAGAAAAAGAACCAGGGATACTCCTCCATTAGATGCCATTCTTTCTCACTTGGGAGAAAAATTTGTAGCTAAAAAATTGATCAAAGACAGAGCAGAATGTGCCCTGAGTGTTGGTTAATAGGATGCTTCAGTTGAAGCATTTCAGAAAATCTTGTTGGTCAGCAAAATACAGTGGGCAAGATGCAGCAATGGTCACTGTGCCACCGTTGGTCAGTCACGGTGATACCAGGGAAAAGCTTGGTGATGCAGGGCTAAGCCCGGTGATGTCATAAAGAAGGGCTCTGGAACTGAGAGGTGTCACCTGACCAATCCCCTGAGGTTTCTTAGAATTACCTCTTGTGGCTTTGGGCTAGAATGGTTTGAGCTTCTTCAATTTTCTTAAAGATAAAGAATTTACTAATATTTTGCTGATTAGTAAATTCAACAACAATGTCAGCATATTAATAAAATCTCCTGGGAATGAGTCCCTCCTATTCCCTTGGTGCTGTCAGGCTGTGGGTGAGGGGCAAGGGAGATGGCATGGCATGTGGATAGAGCTAAGGTGGCAAGGAAGTGGGCATAGTGACAAAATGGTGGCCTTCAGTCCTTGCTTTTATGGAGCGAACGGTCTATAAGTAAGAGGAAAACCAAGATGATTTCAGAGAYGGAGTAAGAAGAGAGCTACATAAAACTATAACAGGCAGCATTGAGGAAGCAGTGAGCTCTACCTGGGACAATTAGGAAATTTCACAAGAGTGTTATTTGAGGGGGCCTAGAATTTTGGTAGGTGGCCAGGCAGAGAGGACATCTCAGAATTACCAGGAAATAAATGTATTTATTCATTTATTGCAGTACTAAAATGTGAAAGGAAAGAGAAAAACTGAGGGAACAACTATTAAGCACAAGGGATACAGGGCTTGATGGTTWGGGAAATTCCCAGCCAATCCAGATTGCAAAAGGTACTGCTGTTGTTTGGAAAGTGTCCCCCAAAGGCCTGTGTTCAAAGGCTTGGTTCCCAGCTTGGTGCTAYTGGGAACTGGTGGAAACTTAAGGGTGGGGACTAATGGGAGAGCTTGCTCACTGCAGTGTACCCTCATAGGTGGTAGCAGGGCCACAGCCCCTTCTTCTCTGCGTGTTTGCTCCTGGCCACAAGGTAAATGGCTTTGCTCCACCCATTCCTTGCTGCCTAGGTGACTGTGGCCTGAAACCTTTGGAACTTCAAGCCAAGCCAGACCTTCCCTCTTTATAAGTTGACTATCTCAGCTCTCTTATTATGTAACAGAAAGCTGACTAACACAGGTTTTGAACTTAAGAAAGCCACTGTCAAGAAGTCTGTTTGAGAATATGTTGAGAGCCACAGCCAAAGGGGCCCAGCAAACTTCCAGCTGCCAGCAAACTTCCAGACTGCCAGCTGATGATTGGCTCACAGYGGCCCCAGCAACATCTAGCTGATTGGCTCCTCTGCRGTGATGTTCATTGGGCTGTTTCCCTGCCCTTCAGACTACGGAACTGCTCATTGGGGGACTTCTTTGGCTCCGCCCATGCGACCCAGCCAATCGGCCTCAGGAGCAGGAGGATTGTGGGAGGTGGTGAGGGTTTGTGTGTGTGTGAGAGGCTTGTGGGAAGCCGGTGGTGGCAGTTGGGCTCTGAGGGTTTTTTCCTTTGGAGCTGTTTTGCTTGGCGTTTGTAGTTCTAAAAATAAAGTTAGTTTCTTTTGACAAGTGGCTCCTGAATTGTGCCCAGTCAGACTGTGGCAAGAATAGGAGTGTGAATGTGGATCCTCCCAGCCATCTCTGCAGAAGTCAGGCGTAGAAATGAGATTCTCCATGAAACATCTGGGGAGGAGTCTCATCTCATAGACTGAATCTCTGAGACATGCTGGGAGACTCACAGGTTTTTGAAAATGTTACACCACCAGAAACTCCAGCTAAGACAAAGGGGCAAAGAGAGGACAAAGTAATAAAGTTACTGTTCTCCCAAAATTCTAAAGAAATAGACTAATGGAGGTATTTAGCAGCAAGCACATGCAATTTTTGTGAAAAAGGAAGGATTAGTGAGTGGGTAGAACCTCAGGCCCAGAGGGCAGTCTTAAATCACAGAGGATTATYCCCATGCCTTAAAACCAAGTGGAATTTTCCCTGTGCGTTTCAAAATTGCTTGGGATTGGTGACGCCTTTCTTCCCTCTCTCTGCTCATTTCTGAACKGCAGTGTCTATGCCTTATTCTCTGCCCATCCCCCCTTACAGTTTGGAAGAAGATAACTAGTTTTCTAGTTTGACAGGTCCACAGACGGAGAGGAGTTCTGCCTTAGGATGGATCATACGAATCTCACCCATACTTTGTTTTGATGATTTGGAGTCTGGGGTTTGAGAGTTTTGAGTTGTGCTATTTAGATAAGGATTGGGATAGAGTTGATGTTGTAATCATTTATAGGATGTTGGACGGGMAGGAATGTATTTTGGATGTGGGGTAGATGTGACTTCTGAGGGAGCAAGAGGGAAGGCTCAATGATGGGTACCACAGATATCCAGGGCTAATCCCTGGAGTTTGTGGCTACAGCCTCCAGAGGATGGAGGATGGATCTAGAGGAGTAAAGCAAGTGACGGAAATATTTTTTTGTTGTTACTTTTGCCAGAAGAGGGGGTTTTGTAGGTCCTCGAGTTAAGAATCTTAAAATGGGCAGATTATCCTGGATTATACAGGAGGGATTGAAATCTAATCATGGTGGCCTTATAACTGAAAGSCAGAGGGAGATTGACATAGAAGAGAAAGTAATTTGACAGTGGAAGTTGGGGTCAGGTGGTGTAATTGAAGACAGATTAAGGGGTCACAAGCCAACAGGTTGGCTTTAGACCAGTGGAACCAAGCTCCGGTTGCTGCCTCTAGAAGTGTAAGGGGAAGARTCTATGTCACTTCGCGCCACCCAATATGTGGTGGTTTTATGTAGCAGCCACAGAAGATGGACCCATCAGCATTTAAATTAATCTGGGACTAATCTAATTTACAGTGTTCAGTAGTTTCAGCTGAGAATATGATAAATCCTTGATTTATTTGACTCTTTTATTTATCTCAGCAAAGAAATATAACTTTATTTAAACAGGTCTTGCAAATGCTGTTATAACATTGCTATGGGCATATAGTGAATGTAATTTTTTTTTTTTAAGAGAAAAGCTAGTTTTGAATTTTTGTGGGGGTGGATCTAGAGGAGTAAAGCAAGTGACRGAAATATTTTTTTGTTGTTACTTTTGCCAGAAGAGAAATTTAAATAGATATATTCTCTTTGGAATCAGTTTTATGTTTTATATTTCTTTTGTTTTTCAAAAAACTTAGCATAATTCTAGGAACACACTGAGTGCTCCAAAAACCACAACAAATATTGGACACACAATTTTTACAAAATTATGATAAGTAATATACTTTATGAAAAGTTGTATATATATAATTATATATATATATAATTTGGTCAATTAAGCATATATACATATGTGTGTATATATAAGTATATGTATGTATATGTGTGTGCGTGTGTGTGTGTATATATATATTGGTACTGGTGATTGAACCCAGAGGTACTACTAAGCCACATCCCAGCCCTTTTTATTTTGAGATAGGGTCTCACTAAATTCTCCAGGCTCTCAGCCTCCCAATTAGCTGGGATTACAGGTGTGTAYCACTGCACCCTGCTCTTACTGTCTTTCAGATGCAAGGCTGGCTCTGAAAAAATACATGACAAAGGTTACTTTAACAATTACTGACCCAGAAAAGGGACCAGGGAAGCTTCTTAAGGAAGACAAGGTACGGTATTGTGATTGTTTCTTGTTCTGAAAATTCTGAGAATTTTGCCTCACATCTTAATTCACACACTAATGCTATAGAGACTGGGAGGGAGGGAGGGAGGAGGGTGAAGGGAAAGGGGAAAGAAGGTGGAGAGAAACCTCCTTTGCTTCCGACCTTCATAAACTGGGGACAAGGGACAGACTGAACTAAATGGAATGAAGTCGTGTTGAACAGTGACACAGAGATGTGCTAAATATCACCCCTGACAGCTTGGATGAAGGTCAGAAATGTTATGTTGAGTGGAAACCACTCCCACAGACCACAGATATTTATAAAGGAATGCCTACATATGGGGGCAAAACTTTTTTTTTTTTTTAAGCAAACAAAAGGATGAGCAAAGATGGTGTTTCTCTCCTGGGGTGGGGGTGGGGGGGCAGGAAGCAAAGCTGGGCTTGTCTTACTGGTAGGGCTCTGTTCTGGTGCAGCCTTTCGGTCCAATGATGTTCATTTCATCATTTTCCTTCAAAACTTAGATGTATATCATACATTTTAACATATATGCATATGCATATATACATTACATATTTTTTAGTGTATCAAATTTTCCATAATGGGGAAAAAAGATATATAGATAGGAAGGTAGCTAACTATGGAGCCAGCCTGCCACCTTGCTATATTTAAGTACTGTCCGTGAACTAGTTTATTGATTTGGATGTGTATTAAATATATGCTCAAGGTATCAGAAATACATTTTGGTTTCAAATTATCTCATGCATTTCTGTGCAGGATGCTCTGACATAATTTATTTAATTTTCTCTGACACAATTTATATGAAAAAGAATTAGCCATTGCTAAGAAGACATCAGCAATTCTGAGAACTTGATAAGTTACACATTGCACTTGAATCTTATAAAACACTCTACAGAATCTCTTGTGAAACAAACAACATAAAGGAAAAATTCTATTGGGATAGCTTCTGGAGCTATTAGATCTGCAAGACAAAACTTTCTTGGCACAAAGGAATAGTGCTTTGTTAGCAATTAGAAAAGTCAGTTTATCAATTTTTTAAAATTTAGTTATCTGAGTTATAAAATGTGTACTCAGAAATCACTAGAAAAAAATGAAACAACTAAAACACTTGCTTCAATTTCCAGTCTTTTACCATGTGGATCTCATAATAATTTTGTGCTAATTTCATCATATTTTTTTTCTTCACTTATAAAAACATATGCATGTCCATATATAATAGGTAGGGGTCCATAAGGGATATATATATATATATATATATATCTTTTTTATAAAAATGGGATCATTAGGGCTGCAGTCGTGGCTCAGTGGCAGAGCGCTTGACTTGCACATGTGAGTCACTGGGTTCGATCCTCAGCACCACATAAAAATAAATAAATAAAATGAAGGTATTGTGTATAAAAAATGTTTTAAAACATGGGATCATACCAGTCATATTATCCTATAATTTGCTTTTCCTCCTTTTAATAATATCCGCCCCCCCCTTTTTTTTTAGGTAGAGGGGATTGAATCCAGGGGCATTCTACCAGTGAAACCCATCCCCAGCCCTCAAGGTCTCCCTAAGTTGCTGAGGCTGGCCTGGAACTTACCATCCTCCTGCCTCAGTCTCCCTACTAGTTGGGCTTACAGGGATGTGAGGACATGCTGGGCTCCTAATGATATCTCATGAAACCTTTCTAAATCCACTTCTGCATCTGCTGCTACTTTATAGTATGGACAGGACACATCACATGCTTATTGAGTTCCCTGCATTATTACAAACCGAAGTGCAATGAACATTTTTCTCTATTTTCACTTTTTAATTGAATTCTTTGTCACCTTGTTCATATTTATGAGGTATGGCATGATAAATGTCTTAAGTCAGACACCAAAAGTTTGCTGCATTGTGCAGTGAGGTGGTTTTTACAACGCACGTCGGGATGTTTCCGGTGAGGCCGAGCTGTTCTTGGATGTCCTGAACTTCCTCCCCGAGTGAACCATTGGAGAGATCAGCTCCTTTTCTAGCCTTTGCAAACCACTTCTCTTTGTCACAGGGCTTAAAGAASATAGAGAATTAGGGAGCGAGCACAGGGCTTCTTGCCTCTTGGTGGKGAGTTTCATTAACTCCTATCCCACGATGTGAGAGCTGCAGTGTTCAGCTCGGCAGCCACAAGCCACATGTTGCTGTTTAAATTTGAATAATTTAAAATTAAACAAAATTTAAAATCCATTTCCTCAGTCACACTAGTCACATTTCTAGGCTCAACCGCTAGACACCTTTAATGGCTACTGCATCAGCCGGCGCAGACGCAGATCCACAGGCCCGGATGGTGCTAGTTTGGGGAGACTCTGGGGGGGCTGTAGCTCCAAGGTAGAACACAGCGAGGCCCCCAGCTCAAGCAAGAGCCTGGTTCCATCCCCGGGACTTCAGGGGAAAAAAGAAAGATGCCTAGAGACACTGCAGAGTTTGATTTTCAACAAATAGGTGGAAAATCCAGTCTCTATCTCTATCCCTAGAACATTGTCCTCGGTGCGTGTCGGGCAAAAAGCGAGTGGYTGGAAACCCACCCGGACGCGTCCATTGATGAGCTTTTTGAGCAGAAACAACTATTGGAAGATATCGTGACTCCCATCCTGGTAAAAATGACTATGACACGTAAGTTTGAGGTAAAAGGTGGTGCTGACTGTCAAGAAGGATGGAATTAGGTTCAGTGTTGTTATTTCTGAGATGCTGTGATTTTAACAACCCATTAAGTAGTCATTAACTTTGTTACCAGCACTGATCCATGGCACAGTATCATGATGATCCCTGGTATCATCATGAATAAAAACTACTAATAACAACTGAATTCTTTGTATAGGAAATGCCTAATAATAATATTGATATGACTATCATCTGTCATTAAGTTTTATGTGATTACTATGCCTTTGATTTTGGCCAGTGATTTCCAAATGTGTAAGGGAGAGAGGGTAACAGAATTTAAAATTTTAAAAAATGGTGGTTTTTTTTTAGCATTTTAATTATGTATTGGAGGAAAATCTGCTGTGGGAATACCATGCTCAAGAGTGGGAAGGTGGTGTGTGGGTCTTGGTGGAGGCATACCTGAGATTCTTGCAATAACAGCTTTGTTGAGATACAATTCTCCTATCATAAAAGTCAACTTTTTGAAGGGTCCAGTTCAGTGGTTTTCAGTATAGTCAAAAAGCTATATAATTATCACTACTCTCTAATATTAGTACAAATTTTACTACCCGCAAAAGAAACCCTGTACCATTGGCAGACTCTTCCCATCCCTCCCTCCCAAGCCCTGGCAACCACTAATCCACTGTCCATATATCTGTGGCTTTGTCTGTTCTGAATATCTCATAAATAGAAACAAACTATGTGTTGCCTTTTGTGGCTGACATCTGTCACTTAGTGTGTTTTTTAGGTTCATCCAYGTTGGGACATGTGTCAGTACTTCTTTCCTTTTTATAACTGAAAACATTCTGTGTATGGATACAAATTTAATCCATTCATCAGTTGATGGACATTTAAGTTTCCACTCTTTTTTCTTGTTAAAATAATGCTGCTGTGGGCTTTTATGTATGAATTTTTGTGTGGGCACACGTTTTCAGTTTTCTCTGGTATATAAATAGGGGTGGAATTGCTGGGTCACGTGGTAGCTGTGTCTGAGCTTTTGAGGAGCTGCCAAACTGTTCCATTTTACATCCCACCAGCAGTCTACGAGGATTCCAATTTCTCCATCTTGGTCTTTTTGTACATTTTAGCCATCTTGAGGAGTGGTATCATAGTTCTGATTTGTGTTTTCCTAATTACTAATTATCTTTTGCGTATTTATTGGCCATTTGTATACTTTCTCTGGAGAAATGTTTAATTCTTCATCGTTTTAAAGTTGGTTTGTCTTTTTTTTTTTTTTAGCATATAATTGTTTTACACACTTATTTTATTTATTTACTTTTATGTGTTGCTAAGGATAGAACCCAGGGCCTCACACATGCAAGGCAAGTGCTCTACCGCTGAGCCACAACCCCAGCCCCTGTCTTTTTATTATTTATTTTTTGTTCTTGATACTGAGGATTGAACCCAGGGGTGCTTTACCACTAAGCTACATCCCCAGTCCTTTATATTATTTATTCTGAGACAGGGCCTTGCTAAGTTGTTGACTGGCCTCAAACTTGCAATTCTCTTGCCTGAGCTTCCCAAGTAGCTGGGGTTGCAGGCATAAGCCACCGAAGTTGGCTTTTTAATTATTTAGTATAAGAGTTCTTCATATATTTTGGATACAAACCCCTTATCAGAAGTATGATTCTGATATCTTCTCCAATTCTGAGGATTATCTTTTCATTTTCTTAACTATATCTTTTAAAGCATGAAAGATCTTAATTTTGTGAAGCGTAATTTATCTATTTTTTCTTTTGATGGTTTCAGTGTCATATCTAAAAAATCTGTTGCCTAATCCACAGTTACCAAGATTTAATTCTACTTTTTCTTCTAAGAGTTTTTAGTTTTAGTTTCACATTTAGTTCTGTGAGCCATCTTGTGTGGGTTTTTCTTTTGTTCATGGTGTGAAATGGGGTTTCATTCTTTCATCTTTTTATGTTTATCAAAAGTTGTGGATTTTAACAGGTCAGGACCCYGCACCTCCTCTAGGTGGTGTGGCAGAATATTTCTTACTGTCATTAATGAACACCTAGTTAGCATTCAGGTAGCACTGTCCTTGGGACCCTGAAGGGAGACAGAGGCTTTGGAATGTCCCCTAGTTTGTAGGTGACACACATACACCTGAAAAAAGTGAAGTAAGTGCTGTATGTATTCAGAGAAGCAAAAGCTGGAGAGAAAGCATCACGGAGCAAGAGGAATTGTCCCCTTGAAGCCAGGGTGGAGGGATATGAAGGGACTTCCAGAATGGAAGCCCAGCAAGGAGGAAAGCTCCAGAGGGGAGCAGAGGGGAGCCCATGCCCAGCTGCTCCGTGTCATCCCTCCAGGACAACAGGAGACAGGGCTGCAGCGCTCACTCTTGATCATTTCATTAAAACTGCTGTAGGAAGGGGCTGGGCTGGGGCTCAGTGGTAGAGGGCTCTCCTGGCAAGTGTGAGGCCCTGGGTTCAATCCTCAGCACCACATAAAAATAAATAAATAAAATAAAGGTATTGTGTCCATCTACAAGTAAAAAAAATAAATATTTAAAAAAGTAACGGCTGAGGGAAGCTTAGATGTTGGGGCTTTATTTTCTGGGCAGTGGAGTGCTTGCTGTTCAATAGGCTTTGGTGTAAAGAGAGAGGAATTAAATAGGGGAGAATACAGTACAGAGACTAGTACAGTCCAGGAGTGGGCGGATTAGACCTCATCTGCTACCTGTTCCACCACTGCCCCTGGCCTGGCCCAAACCCTCCCCTGGAGTAGGATCACCTCTCTCCCCTGGTTTACATTCCCCAAGGAGCACTTCCATGTCATAGAATGTTGGGTCTTGATGGGTCCCCTAAATGGTCTTCATTGTACATGAAGAAACGGAGACAAGAGAGGTTCACAGTGTATGCAAAATGACTAGTCAACCGCCAAACTGGGGAGGCTAATGCCAGTGATATGGGAAATGTGACTCCCTGCTTTGCATATTTGAAAAACAAAGGAGGAGAGAGTATTCAGTTGAGATACCAGCCGGGACCTAGTGACTTCCTCCTTGCTCATTTTTAAGAAACTGGCTTCATCTGTTTTCTGCCACAGCTAATCAAATGTAATTTTAAAATCTGCTTCCTTTCAGGTCAAGTGAAAAGTGGCAAATCTGTAACCTAAGCGTGGTCAGAGGAGAAGTCAAGCTCATGCTTTCTACGGAACATACATTTTATTTCTAGTATCAAAGATAAACCTATGGATGCCACTTGAGTCAAGTAACTGGATATGGGGTTTTATAAAAATGCTGGAGTACAAACTCAGTCATCCTTGCTTTATTCCCCCGTGGGGCCTGCTGACTGCAGACTCTGGCCTCTCCTGCAAGCTCAGCTCCACGGCTTTCAAAGGCTCCTTCAGGAACTCACTGGGTAGAAATCATTCAGGAAGACATACGGAGGCTTTGAAAACCACTTAGAAAACTTAATAATTTTCTCTATAACTGAAACAAGAAATTTTTATCAACTGGGGAATTCCATCTAAAAAAGATAGTTATTTCCAGAGGGGGGAAAATATTCTCCCTCTCTCAGAAGGAAATCTTAGCATGGTATGGTGGTGCATGCCTGTAATCCCAGTAGCTCAGAGGCTGAGGCAAGAGGATTGAAAGTTCAAAGCCAGTCTCAGCAACTTAGTGAGGCCCTAAAACAATTTAGAGACACCCTGTCTCTAAATAAAATACTTTTTTAAAAAGGGCTGAGGATCTGGCCCAGTGGTTAAGCACCCCCCTGGGTTCAATCTGCAGGTACCAAAAGAAAAAAAGAAAAAAAAAACAAACATCTATGGAAAGACATTTTTGAGCAAGGAAATAGTAATTGTTTGGATCAGGGTCCTTTAGTATTACTTTATATTTACAAATTAAAATTCACCTGTAAGGTGAGATATAGTCTCTGAGTAAAATCCCTATTTATCTTTAACTTCTTTGTATTTTTAGATTAATAAACACACATCTGTGTAGTTTTATATTTAGAATCGCTCCCTATTCTGTAGGTTTGGCAGCATAGAGATAATGGAACGCCATACCAGTATCCCTCCTGTTCTGTTTTATATTTCCTAGATTTTAACTGTCATACTTGGTTTCCCATTGGAGATTGGAAAATCTTTTTTATTTTTTCTTAGTTTATTCAATGAAGCCCCTGAATCTTCTATTTCCTTGTGACCTTCAGGGAAATTTTAATAGAAAAGAAAATGTTAACCAAAAAAATCCCATTTATTCCTTGCTCTTGTGACTTTTTCCTCTTTGTCTTGCTCTGAAAGCTAGTTTTTCCATTTTAGGAAGAAGGAATATAAATGAGCAATTTGGTAATGTTTTTCCATTCAACATTTTCTCAACCATGATTTTGAGATAACTTTTAAATGTCTCCTAAATTTTTWAAATTTGAGATGATTTTATGCATGAGTGCTGCAGTTCCAGTTTCCTTGAGCGGCAGCACAGGGTGATGTCCCCATTTCTGGTGGGCTCCCAGGGGTTTACAGAACAGCACAGAGGAGCTCTGTCTGCTCCACTCTCTCCATACGGTGTGGTATCCGTAAGCACTGCAATAATCCAGGGAGAGCAGGCGGTAGGTGTTGTTTCTGTTCTAACTCTGCTTTCGGAGCTTGATCCTGAGGACAGCACCTCTCTCYAGGTGTGTGTTCCTGGGGAGTAGAGGGAATCCTGGGTCTAACCTCTGGGATTCTGAAAGAACACTGAAGCATTTCTGGAAACCCCCTAGAATAAAATGAACTCCTCTTCCCCCCCCCCTTTTTTTTTTGTTTCTCAGTCTTTATCCTTAAACCTTTTGTAGCTTTTGATAGATTTGCTAATGCTCGATTTATAAAACTCTTTGTATGGGCACCTTTATGCCAATCACGATTCCTGTACTTTCTTACAATCTGCCTTTCCACCCCCTTCACCACCTCCTCTTCTTTATCTTGCCTAGCCGTGGGAAGATAAAGAATTCAGTCCTGACCCCTGAAGAAGCATTTGTAATTCTCTGCCCCATCACCCTCCCTGTCCCCAATATTATAAGGAACTAATGAGGCGGGTAGCCTCAGTCTGTGTTCTATTCAATTGTTCACACTTTTATCTCTGCAAGTGAATTCAGAGCTTTTTGAAGCGACAGACTGTGTTCTTCCTTATACCTAAAGAGCTGTAAGATCGTAAATTAGTAAACAGTAGGTGAATGAAATCACCGTTAACACGACCTTTTTCTTAGAAGAACTCATGAGCTCTTCATTCATCTCCRGAGCTTCTTGTCTTTATAAATGACTTCCAGACCTTTTCTCCATACCTTGCTTATGCCTGTGCTCCATTTCAACTCCTCCTCCTCCAACAGTACGGGTCACACACATCCAGCATTGTGACTCTTGTCTGGTTTCTGCTKCGACCTGTTTCCTAAGCTTTTTTCTGGAGTGTCCTATCTTTCAGGCATGTGAACCCAGTGACACCAAGGGATTCCTAGATCTCATTTCCAGGATTCCTTTGATGTGGRGATCTGAACATTTATTCATCTCTATAGATCTATAACTTTTGTCTATTTGGAGAGGTGGTATTTCTTGTTGCCTGTTGTTGTGCTGAAGTATAGGTAGATTTGTGGACGAGTTAGATTCCCTTGTGCTTTCAGTTACAGTTACCTGGGTAGCTGCATGTCTTTTCCTGAACTTCAAGAGTAATTACTAYTTCAGAGTACATACTAACAACTCAAGATAGCCTCCACAGTATTTGAGAGGCATTCTGTTAGGATAAATTCTAGATAGTGGTTCTTTAGACTTTTGTGTTTCATTGATCAGAAAAATGTAAAAAAAAAAAAAATCGGGGGAGGAGATTGCTATGATGTCATTAAGAAAACAACTACTACCTATACTACTTTCATTTAATAAAACAAATTTAACATCAGAAAAGTTGGGGAGATCACCCTTTAGATTGAATAAATYAAGCTTTATTTTAGAACTTTATGTTAGGGTTCTTGTTGTCATTTTGCCATGTACAATGGAACTTCCATGAGTCAGAACTGACGTGTGGTCCAGCCTTTGAGAATTGCTGCTCTAGACTAAGCGAAGCAGTGGGACTGCTAGTTAGGTTCTCATGGTACTCCAAGTTGTGAAGGACTGGCAGTTGCCTCAGTGTTCAGTCTGATACGTGGTGGACCGTGCTCTCTCCAAGACGGGCCCTTCTCCCTTCTCATGTGCTGTTCTTGCCTTGTGATGGTGAGAGGAAGGGGTATCTATCCTCTCCTGGTGAATCTGGGCAGGCCTGTGACCACAGTGAAAGTGAGTATATGTGCTCTCCAAGGCTAGATCATAAGCGGTGACATGGCTTTGGCCTAGTTCTCTTAAGATGCTTGCACTTRGAAACCAGCCTGTGGAGAGGCCTCAGGCCCCAGCCCCCTCCAGCCAGCCACCTTCCCCAACTTGYCAGGCATGGAAGAGAGTCATCCTGGAAGTGGATTCTTCAGTCAAGCCACTGAACTGATGCTGAATGCAGCAGAGACCAACTTTCTCAGCTGAGCCTTGCCCAAATTGCAGATCTGTGAGCTAAATAAATGATAGTTGTTGTTTTAAGAGGCTCAGTTTTGTGTTMTTTTATGTAAGCAATAAAACATGCACATTTTGGAAACTGGAAGTGAGAAATTGACAAAACAACACCTAAAACATGTGACACTGGCTTTGGGATTGCATGGTAGATAGAAGCCAGAAATTTCCAGAGTGGGGTCTGAGCRAAAGCCCACCGGCCTTGAGTGGAGCTTTTACAGAAGTCTTCAGGGCCTCYAGGAGGCTGCCTGTGGGAGTTTATAGAAAAGGGGAAAATGTACTAGGAGCTGGAGAAAAGGGCCCTTGTTGTGAGATTGTAGTGAGTGACCACACTGTTGTTGAAGTAATGAGCCCTGATCCTGCCAAGGACTTTCTGGACAGCACGCCAGTGCCCCCTGGCTGCTTCTAAAATGTGAGAGAAGAGAGAGGAGTTGAAGAGAAGGAACATTTCAGCTTTCAAATGAACTTTAAAAGAAATAGAGAGGGGTCCGTACTTATTGGGTTTGAAAATAAAGTTGCTTCTCATTCTCTCAAACTAAGAATTGAGTTYTGGGAAAATATCAGATCTGGGGTGAGGGGCGGGGTAGGGTGGTGGTTTATAAGGTTATCTGCTGAGACMTCAGAAATTCCTAAGATGGTATCACAGAGAACCTCCCAGATTTTAGGTGGGCTTTTTCAGGAGAACTGGGAAGATGGTCTCTCAGAACTACATGAAAGCCAGGGCTGACTCTAAATCTCCTCCATGTTTTCCCGAGGTATGGAGAYTGGGAGAATCTGAGCTTTGAAACTTGAAATCACAGGAGTCTCACCCACGGTTAGGTGGACTGAGGGAGCCTGAGGGGACCCAGGTGGGACAGGACCTAGAGGAGAACCCGACAGGGCATTAGTCAGAATGACCTGAGGCAGTGCAGCCGAGGAGAGTGTCTCGGTGCTGAGAGAGATGAAGGTGACAACCTGCAGAGATGAGGTGGGGGTGAGAGTGGGGGACAGCATCGAGAACTCGGAAGATGGGTGAGTTAAGGAAAGGCAGATGGGCACGTGAAGGAATAGGTCTCAGGAGACAGCTGCGAATAAGACATTAAAAAAGGGAAAGACCTCTTGCGGGTAAAAAAGGTGGTGGAACGAGATGGACATCATTACCCTGAGTCCATGTATGAAGGCAGGAATGGTGTGAATCTACTTTGTRTATAACCGAGATATGACACGTTGTTTTCTGTATGTGTAACATGAATTGTAATGCATCCCACTGTCATATGTAAATTATAAGAAAAAAATGACCTCTGGCATTTACAGCAAGGAGGGGTCCAGGGGTTTAAAAGAACAGACCCAAGTCAGCCGTGCAAGTCTGTATAAAATAGAAAGTTGTAGAGAATATTTGGGGGGTTGCTGGGTGGATGCCAACGTGGTGGTTATATTCAGGGACAGGTACAGAGCTGTCAACTGAAATTCTATTTAGTCTCTAGGAACTGGGGCTTTGTCATTTTCCTTAGTACCTAAGTGCTAGAGAAGACTGAGGGCAGAGTTTGTGAGCTTGCTGCTGTGATGTTCTCCTCAGTCCCCCAGGAGAGGGTACACGGCACAGGCACAAAAGTGGACTTTGCTAGTTGCCAAGTTCAGCTCTTCTTGAAAGTTACCTATAAAATGAGGATTAATGTTAATTTAAAAAACATTTATACTAGCCAGGCAGCGTGGCCCCTGCCTGTAATCCTTGCAGCTGGGCAGCCTGAGGCAGGAGGATCACCACTTCAAAGCCAGCCTCAGCAACTTAGATACTGTTCTGAAATAAAGTATAAAAAGGGCCCTTGAGTTCAATTCCTGGTATCAAAAAAAACCAAACCTAACCCAAACAAACAAACAAACAAAAACCCCAACCCCAACAACAACAACAAAACATTTATACTATATTTGTTTTTAGTTAATTAGAGGCAAAAAACAGAGATCACAGAATTGGGGGGTGCATTTGTCCTCCCACAGAGAATGGGTGACATTGTTTATTTAATTTAGGGACCAAAAGCAAATGAGGAATAGGAGGGAGGAAAAAGGAAATGTGAAATATTGAATGGGAAGGAGAGATAAAAGAAAATGGATAAGAGGATGTGAGGGGAAAGGGAAAAAAAACAAGGGAGAGAAATGAATTACAGTAGATGGGGTAGAGAGAGAAGAGGGGAGGGGAGGGCGGATAGCAGAGGATAGGAAAGGCAGCAGAATACAACAGTCACTAGTATGGCAGTATGTAAAAACGTGGATGTATAACCCATGTGATTCTGCAATCTGTATACGGGGTAAAAATGGGAGTTCATAACCCACTTGAATCAAATGTATGAAATATGATATGTCAAGAGTTATGCAATGTTGTGAAAAGTTGGAGTAAAAATGAGTCAGAGAGGAGACAGGGCAGGGTTGAAGAGGGTTAGGGCTTGTCATGGTTTGGATGTGAGGGGTCCCTCCAAAGCTCACCTGTGAGACAAGGTGAGAAGGTCCGAGGAGAGAYGATTGGGTTCGCGCTGTGACCTAACCGGGGAATTGGTCCCTGGTGGGATTAACTGAGTGGGAAGTGGAGGCAGGAGGCGGTTCATTGGGGTGTGGCTATGGGGTATCTATTGGTATCTGGAGAGGGGCTCCTCTCTGCTTCCTGATCAGGATGTGAGCTGCTTCTCCCCAGCACACTCTTCCTCCATGCTGTCCTGCCTCAAGCCCTGAGGAATGGAGCCTGATGTCTAGGGACTGAGACCTCTGAAACCTGAGCCTCAAATAAACCTTTCCTCCTCTACAACTGCTCTGGTCAGGTCCTTTGAGTCACCGCAGTGAAAAAGCTGACTGAAAACGGGGCTGAACTGGATAGGGCTGGCAGGAGAAAAACCCTTCATCCTTGGCCATTTCAGCCATCTGGTCAGCCAAGGAGGTCAGTTACCACCGTTGTGGTGTAGACAAGAGCTTAAGAACCACATGCTGCCCTGGGACCAGAGAGAGGATTTGGCTTCTTCTGAATTGGGGGTGGGGACAATCATGCGGCCAATCAGAACAAGAGCAGGTTGGCAAGAAGCCAATGGGAAGTGGGCATGGAAATGAGTCTTGCTGGCCATCGGTTGGTGTGGTGTCCCCCCTCTAACAGGTGCCGGGCTGGCTTTGGGAGTTTGAGAGCCTCTGTCTCCTCTCAGCACTGAACCAGCTTGGACTTGGCAGAGCATGGTCTTTGGTCTTGGTAGTTTGGAGAAGAACTTGATTTAGGATCGTTGACATTTGCGGTTTGAGGAGGCCACAGACCTGAAGAGCCSCTGGGGGGACAGGTGGTGTGACTTGAAGATGTAGCATTTTGAGTCCACTTCTGACTCACTCCTGGCTACACATCGGCATTACTGTGACCTGAGGACCAAACAGGTACCAAACTAGAGAACAGAGATAAACTTCAAGTATTATTTGGGCTACTCAGAAACTTCTAGGAGTTTGTAGGTGAAAGCTAATCGTGAGGAAAAATGGAACAACGGAAGTCCTTCCCAGCACCACCCTGTGAATTTGGGTCGGCTAAGCCCTGCCTCAGGGCACCAGCTGCAGTGGGGGTTGGGGGTTAAATCAGTTATTCATGTGCCAGCCCTGTGCCTGTCATCGWGCACCTCTGAAGGGGGACGTCTCTGGTTAGGTCAGCAGTGCAGCGTGATCAGATTTCACCCTGGGTCTTTGCCTTGGCTTTTACCTTATTCACTCCCATCCTCACCCCAGCCTTGACTGGCGGTCACTCAGCTCTGACCTTGCTTCCTATTTGCTATTTTGGATTGGGATGAGGTGGAGAGAGACAAAAGAGGTATTGGGGTTGGAGTAGAAAAATGGAATTCTAAAAGGAGTTTCACCCACAGAGAATGAAAAACCAGGTACCTTGCTCCTTCCCCTCAAAGGGCTGGCTGCTCACAKGTTTGTGGAGAACCTATCTTGTGCCACACCTGTGTGCATGTCCTTAGTGAGAGCCAGTGTTCTGCCCAGGCCTTTGAGAAACACATTACCACCTGGTGACGACAGAAGGTGCAGGAATCAATACAGCCCCTCTCCCACATGCACGTAGTCGTAAGAGGAAGAAACGCCAGCGCTTGCTCCAATATTCTTGGAGCAAGAGGTCAGACAGGACATAGTGATGTGTTCCTGGACAGGAGAGAAGCACTCGGGTCTGAGTTGGGACAACCTTAGACAGAAGCAGGAGGGGTGAATGGAGACCTGGCCCACCTCATGTTCCTCTTTTGCACATTATSGCAGGTTAGTCTGTAGCAGAGAAAGTCATAACACACGGGAATCCACCAAGGTAGGTCTGGAGAAGCAAAGATGTCGAATTCTTCCTTCTGGTCACCGAAAGAAGGCACCACACCTGACTTACTCTGCGGGAGGCCAGTTGGTTTCCTCACCACGAAGGACCGTTTCATGATGCTTATATGTGGCACTCTTGTTTTGGGAGGTAGGTTTCCTTGCCCCAGCCTGCCCTGTAGTACTGAGGATGGAACCCCTGGCCTGGCACATGTAAGGTGGGCACTGTGCCATGGAGCTTCTCCCTAGCCCTGGGCGGTGGTTTGTGAAACTCGACTTTCCTTCGTCCTTTGAGACTTTTCTTGATGCAGAAAGTGATCRCAACCACATCAAAAGAAGAGGCCCAGGACTCTTCACGTGTGAGTGAATGCTGCCCGTCTAGCCTTGCTCAGGTTTCAGTAGCGTCTACTGACGTTCCTTCAGTCAGTCACATTGGCTGGGCATGGCCATGCGATAGGCACTGTCTCACACCAGGGAAGTGAGACCGTCCTTAGCCTCATGGAGCCCTCTCATATGGGGACAGGCCAACCAGAAATTACGATGCAGCATGAAGGTACTGTCTGAGTGTCTGGCACCAAGGAGGAGAGAGAACCTCGTGTGCCTGCCTGGCCAGGCCTGACCCAACCAAACCTGACAACTGGGCAAAGCCCAGAGGTACAATTTGCATAGCTGATGTCATTAATTCTGCCCATTTTATTACAGCACCTGATGTGATTTTTTTTTCTTCCTCACTCCTACCCCACTTCCCAGAGGAAACTAGGAAAGCCTTTACAAATAAGGGCTCTTAAACAATGATTAAGAATMGAACAGGCGTGGCAAATGGTATTCATGCAGATACAGTAATGCACTTGATAGCACAGGTGCTTTATCTCTGATCACAATTCAACACCAGCGATTAGAGAAAAGCTTCTAGACCTCAGAGAAAGAAAAATTAAGAAAAATGTCAGCTGTTCAAAAATGCAGTTAGAGAAAAGCAAGCACCTTTTGTTCCTTTCTGGTGATGTCAGTTTTCTTTATGGTTAGAGTCAGTTAAAAGTATTTCTGGCTTTTAGGAAAAATTATAGAACATACATTGTAGTAGCTTAGGATGAGCAATTATTAATAAGATGATTATTTCTCACCTTCAGATCCATTGGTAAGATACCAATATGGTGTTCCTAATATGTCACTGGGTTGGCAAGTGGGGCGTTGTCAAAGCCTCAGTATTTTCCAAGTTCACCTGTGAGGGATGCTACAGTCTGTGTGTCTTACACATAATAGCATTTGTAATGACCATCAGATATTCACTCACAATAATATAACACACAGAGAGGTTTAAAATAAGTAACTAGAGTGAACATTAAATTGTTTCAAAASTATAAATTGTTATTATTTTCTATTTTGAGCTTCACCCTAGCCCTGAGTGGTGGTTTGTAAAAACTCTACTTTCCTCTGCCCTCTGAATTTTCTCAGTGCAGAAAGTGATCACAATTACTCTTTAACAAATTTTTTAAAAATTGACACTTTATGGAGTGCGGTATAATTTGATACATGTGTAATGATCAAATGAGGGTAATTAGCATTTTGAAACTGTAAAAKTTATGTTTAAATGGTGCAATTTTTTTTTTTTTTTTAGGATTCTCGAGGATGTTTTTCAAGAATTCTGAAGTCATTGTCTTGACCATTCTTTCTGTATCAGGATTTATAATAGGACAACTGGCTTACCATTTTATTGAGGTACTGTATGTATAATAAATGAGAGAATAAATTAAAGGACAAATATCAAATACAAGGTCCACTTTCATCTCATCCCCAAACATGAATGTCTTAAAAAAATGTGAACAGCTATTCAAAAAACTTCACCTAGTCTAAAATATTTGGCAAATGGAAAAACACAACCAAGGATGTATTATTAGGGAAAGTCCAGATAAACCCATAATTGGTAAGGGAGGGGGTTGGTTGGCTTCCCTGGGTCCTTGTCTCTGGCCTTCCAGCCTTGCTCTGGCTTCTTGTCTCCCCTGCAGAGGCCCCTTATAACACTCAGCAGTTGTTGTTTCCATGAGGAGGCAGRTGGCATGTAAAAGCCAAGCAAGAGAAAAAAATTCATTAATTTAGTAACTCCTGATTTCAACTGCATTACAATATGATTGATAAGCATTTGCCTCTGCTCATTCTTTATTTTTAAACAATGGAGATAATGCTTCTTACCTGTCCAGGTTTGTAAGAGTCTATTGGTCATCCTAAAGTACCACTGCTCTTGCTAGCCAACATCTTTTGAGTGTTTATTATATTACTTACTAATTTATTAACTAATTAAGTTTTGAATTAATACATTCATTCTTGTGGCAACTCAATGGAAGTGTTTCTCTGTTCTTATTTGGCATACAAGGAAACTGAGACCCAGAGAGGTTAAATAATGACAGTTAATCCATTGACTAGGCCAAAATAAACTTTTTAGGAGGGAATATTTACAGCTCACCCATCACTGTTGTGTTTTCCAATATGCTATGTGCAGCCTTCCTAATTATATAACCAATCATAGGATTATGTATTATTTTTCTCTACTGATTAACTGAAGGATTTTTCAATCTTAAGCAAATTTATGTGAAACCACAGGTACCTATGCAGTATTATTTTTCCTGTTTAAAGCCAATTAAAATAAATATCTAGTAGTCAAATAAAAAAAATGCTTATCTGTGAATCACCTAAAATTATTTCAGGTATTACTGATGGTAGGCACATCACTATTTTATAAACTGGCTACCCTCCACAGGCAGTGTTCATATGGTTACAAATTCCCTGGTAAATAGAAGACTGTATGTTTGCCTATGTGTCTATCAACTGATCTGTCTCTCTACTGTCTCTACTACTCTAGGACTCTGAGACTGACCTTGGAGATAATCTCTCACTGGTTGTAAATGGGAATATTCTCAAGTCTACATGAATGGACGTAGAATTGACCTAATTTCTAAGATCTGAGAATGGCAGCAAACTAATTTCTCATTTGCCTTGTATTAGGTGTATCCAGTTGTTTACCCTCTTCTAAGAACACCAAGTTTTTCGCTTTATTCTTATTTTTTGCCTTTAATTGTATTTGTGGCTGCTTTGGATGTGGATTTTTATATAGTCAAGAATGTGTTTTGGCAGGTAAGAWCACATTTTGAAACAAACTGAAGTCCACTCTTGCTTATTCAAGTTGATCAAAAATGATTGTTTTATAGCAGATTCCTCATTAATGAATTAATGAATTTTGCCTTTTGTGTTATTTTACCCTCTTCATTGTGTAGAACCACTAATTAAAGAGAGTTGGGGGGAGGGATTAATATTTGCTTAGTGACCACCAAGAAAAGGCACTGGGTAAATATCATCTCCATTTTGTATACAAGCAAACTGTGGCTCGGAAGTCATCCATCAATGTCGGGACCTGGGTTCTGGTCTCACACCTGGCTCAGCTTGGAACAGACTGAGTTGGGGGACCCCTCTGAACTTAAGAGCAACCCCTGCTGACAGTAGAAACTGAAGGGCTACAACCCTCCACCTGATGGGTGCCCAGGAAAACACAGTGGAGACTGCCCCGACCCCCAGTGGTCTGACTAAGCTCCCCCAATCCACACGTGTGCATTTCCTGTTTGTCACCTGGCTTCTGCTCCTATAAATTGTAACTGCTTCTGGCTGTTTCTCTCCCTCCTTTTGATCAGGTTCATTTTTTCTCTTCCCACCTTTCCCCTCTTTCTTATGGGGGCAGGCAGCCAAATRCAGCCTGTGGGAGGCCAGCAGGCTCCCTGGGATAGGCCACCTGCAGATCTGCCCGGGTTTTTCACTGTTCCAGGGCATGCATCAGTGGCCGAACTGAGGTAGCCACCGCAGTCCCTTCTCATCCCCATTCTTGTGATCACAAGAGAAAGATTTTAAACAAGTCACTCAGAGCAGCAGGCATGAGTTTATTAAAGGTATGGGAAAAGGGGACACTCTTAAGAGAGAGAGTGAGTCCTCTCAGAGAGGAAAAGGACAGTGTGCCCACCCCCCAGTTTTATTGGCGGTTCCAGGGGAGTTTAGAGAGTCCTGCTCAGGTTCACCTCTTGGATTTTGACTCACAGCTGGACAACTCAGTCCCCACTCTGCATGACAACTCTAGGTCACTGTGGCCCATGCCGACCCATCCTATATTGAACCTATTCTTGCAGATTTTATGACTGGGGACATCATTCTTATCTCCCGGAGTTCTGGGATCTGGTGTGTGTAAACTTTCAGGGTAACTTGTGTTCTCTTTAACAGCATTTCAGGCCTACATTTCTCTTGCGGATAACAGGTTGTTTGCTGAGGAATGTAACATATCCAATGGACTTTAGCCAGGCAGGGTGCAAGTAAATTGTTGTTTATTTGTTTTTAAAAGAAAGGATATGTGGGGGGATCAGCGCAGTGGGCCCACTTTATAGAATGATTCCCTTAACTTTGTGTCCCCACTACTCCTGTCTGTTACCTATCAAAAAAAATTTAAGGCTTAAAGACACAGAATCCCCCCAAAAGCTAAAAGTCAATCAACTGATATTAATTCAAGATGTCCAGACCCATCAGGGTGGTGATGGCCGAAGACTGGGTCCTTAATGTGACAAAGGAGTTTCCTGCGTCCTCCTTTCACAAACAATTTCTCTATATGGGGCCTAGGTGTTTGGTAGCTGTTTTGCCACCACAGAGCTGCTTCTGTAGTCGGTCTCTCAAACCCAGCCACGGCTTCCCCAACTAAGCTCGTGTAACAGTTTGCTCTATCTTTGCCATGCCATCCCGGGGCTCGCCATCTTTACTAGGAGGGGATTCCATCTGAAGAACGTACTTTCTTGGCTTTTCTGTGAGTGGCAGGTCTTTTCCATCCGAGATTGCAGCGATTCAGTCACATCTTCAGCTCCACTTCTGTTTCCAGCTTTCTAGCTCTTTCTATTGCTTCTGTAGTCTTGAGCCCCTCAAAGTCATCCATGAGGGTTGGAATCAACTTCTTCCAAATTCCTGGTGGTTGACATTTTGACCTTCTCCCACGAGTCACAAACATTCTGAACAGTGTCTAGAACGAGGAGTCCTTTCCAGAAGGTCTTCCGTTTCCTTGACCCCGAGCCATCTGAGGAGTCAGTGGCAATGGCAGCTGTAGCCTGATGAACTGTATTCCTTAGGTAACKAGACTTGAGAGTGGAAATTGCTCCTGGACCCATAGGCTACAGAACAGGTGTTGTGACAGGAGGCATGAAAACAGCATTAGTCTCTGCACTCTCCATTAGAGCACCCGGTGACCAGGTGCATTGCCAACGAGCAATAATATTTTGAAAGTAATCTTTTTTTTTTTTTTCCAAGCAATAGATCTCCATAGTGGGCTTAAAATATTAGGTAAATCATGTTAACAGATGTGCTGTTGTCCAGGCTTGGTTGGTTCATTTTAGAGCACAGACAGAGTAGATTTAATGTGAAACACAATATCTTTATTTCATTTTCATGTGGTGTTAAGGATCAAACCCAGTGGCTTATGCATGCTAGGCGAGYACTCTACCACTGAGCCAGCCCCAAATTAGCATTCTTTATGATAAAAATAAGGGACAGAAAACTTCCAAATATGTATAACTAATAGCCTTGGAGAAACAATAAGGAATAAGGCAGTAATACCACAGAAAGAACAAAGAACCAGGAAGAGATCTTGAAAGTTGAAAATATGATGGCTGAATTCAACTAATTCAGTGAAAGAGATCAAAGGGAGAGTTGYCGAGACTCACAGAAAATAAAACAAAAGACAAAGTGGAAAATGAAAGGACTGAATAACATCTTTTTTYCCCCCTGAGGGATAATTTTGGAAAATAAGTTTCTTGTGTTTACAGAAATAGAAAATTGCATAAATTTTTGTATCTCAAGCATTTCAGGGTGTCTCCTGTCCCYGTTGCAGAGTAGAGAGGAGGGGAGACAAGGGTTGGTTACTGGGTACAAAGATACAGTTAGACGGGAGAATTAAGTTCTAGCACAGTAGGATGCCTCTAATTAACAAGAATGTATTATATATTACAAAAAAGAAGAGTACAGAGGAATTTATGTGTTCCTAACACAAAGCAATGATGAATTGAGGTGGTGGATATGCTGATTACCCTGATCTAATCATTACACAATGTAWACTTTGTATCCCATAAATATGTATGGTTATTAGGTGTCAATTAAAAATAACAAAATGAAAAAAATATGTGTATAAAACCAAGATTTGATTCTTAGAACATAAATAAATGCAGCCATGCCATCTTTGGATATTAAATCTAATGCCTTATTATGAATTGGTTCACAGGTTTTGTTAACTGGATTTATTAGCTTTTTTATATCATTCATCACAATTGGATATGTGATTCTGAAATTCAATTCGGAGTCATGGGATTTTCAATCTTGCTTACTCTTGAGCATCACTCTCAGCATTACGGATCCCCTTCATTCTGTGAGCTCACTGAAAACTCTTGGTARGTCACATTTATTACATTTATTTCTTTTTCTCAACTTGAAGATAAGAGGGTACTTTATTTTCTTTTGATTATGTTTTCCTTGCATAAGTGGTGCCCTGAGCAKCGCAGGAATTGGTGCTCTCGTCCTGGAGGGCAGGGCACTGTTGGACTTGAGGGAGGAGGAGCAGAGAAGCCCGTCACTGAGGAGTGAGGTAAATAGTGTCGGTATAAAATTGAGGGAAAGGTGACTCTCCTAGAACGTGACAAAAATTGGCCTTATTGTTCTCCGCCACTGAATTCTAAGCCACAAGGTAAAGATTCCACATTGGTGAGCTTGTTTACCAATAAAGAGAGAAAATACAGACCCCTTTCCAAGGCCTTGCTACCTCTCATTAGAACTGGTTCCCTGGTGGGCTGGGTGGTGGCTCAGTGGCACAGAGCTTGCCTTGCCTATGTGAGGCCCTGGGTTCCATCCTCAGCACCACATAAAATAAATAAAATAAAGATATTGTGTCCATGTAAACGAATAAAAATAAAAATAAAAAAAACCACCAACAACAAAAAAAATGGTACCCTTTTGAAAGCACTGAGGTTGGGCAGCTGAAGAGAGGAGGTAAAGATTGAGATTGGCACTTCAATGTATTTTTTCAGTAAGTGCTTATTTCCAAGAGGGTTTGGGGTCTTGTGTTTTTTCCAGTCTTACTCAGTGAGGTGAAAGGTGATCTCACCCTGAAATATCCTCCTATTGTCATGTTTATTAACATAGCAGTAAAAACATGAAATAGAGGCTATAGTTACTGGTTTTGACTCACAAATGTTTTCCTAACTAACTCCAAAGCACTGGTTGTATTTAGAGGAAACAGATCACCTTATGCCTGGAGGAGAAACCTCCCGGCCTCCCGTGGGATACTCACATTTTTACTCCCATTGTACCTGGGACAGAGAGAAGGGKGTTAGATACTCCCGGCGGTAATGTTCTAAATTACTACAAGGTAGTTTTATTTCTCCAAGAGTCTGATCCTGTGCTCTTTTTTCTCTTGGTACACTTAAAAAAGATTTTGAAGTTAAAATAGCTGTGTATGGGTTGTGGACTCAGATGATTTTTGTTCTTTCCCTTTTCTAAATTTTGCAATGAACCAATATGTTAGTTCTACAATAAAGACACTGAAGAGTAGTTACTATCGAGTTTTAATGTTAAAAACAACTACAAATCAAACATACAACCTCATTTGCCAAACTTCTACTTGCCCCTCATCATCTCACTGAATCTGGGAGAAGAATGAAAGGATCTCCTCACTAGATACATCCATGTGCTGACTCCAGTCCTGAGGAAGCAGGGGTTTGTGCCTTCGTCACAGACTTGGCAGCAGGTGGTGAGAGTCGAGGGCGGCCGAGCTTGCCTTTTTTGTCGGCCTGATAGTGAAGCAGGAAGAGAGACACAACCAGCTAAATATTAATCCACAGTCACACCTGAGCGCCCCTGACATTGACCCTGAGCTTTGGAATATTCTGGCGTTTTTACATCCACATCAAACATCGAAAAGCAGAGATTTCCTTTCTTTTAAACTAGATATAATATCCTTAGAAATAATAATAATATAAAATGACTTTTCTCTACATTTACTCAATTACATTTCAAAACCTCAAAGGAAAAAAATCAGAATGTTAATCAGGTCTTGTTTTCACTTAAAAAAAAATTGTCACCTAATGTGATCAGTTTAGGTCTTGATGGATTTCATCAAATATAATATTAAATATAATGATAAAAATATATATGATGGATTATATTAAACAGCTGCTTTTAAAATGTGTATAGTTGTGCGATCCTTTCCCTATCCATMGGCCATTGCATTAGGCTGCATAATGTGCCACCCTGGGTCACATGTTCTTCTGGAGTTTGGGGCTTCTGCTGTCAAGTAAAAGAAGTCCAGGGCTGGCCCCAGTTGCAGTTCCCTAACTCACCAGAGACGTGGGGGCCCTCTAGTTTTATACCCCTGTGGCTCAGGTAGCATTTACCTTCCTGCCTGAAGCAACTAAAAAACTGGACAAAATGTATGAAAAAATAGTTGTTAGATATTGGGCATCAGATGACGCGGGACAGTGATTCCTCTGGGGTGGGGGAGAAAAAGGGAGAGAGACCGATGGACTCTTGATGGCTCTGGCCTCCGTTCATCACCTGGCAGGAGTTTTCGGGTGTCAGTGGGGGGAAGGATAACCCCGTTGGAGCCTGGTACTTTCTCTAAGTTGAGCAGTGCTGGAGCCGGGAGTCCAGTGGGGCCAAGGCAGCCTGAGTTCACAGAGCCCAGAGCTGTCTTGAAGGATCTTTGACTGGGTCAGCATCAGTGCTTGCATGTAAGCAGAGTGCCCAGCACTGGGGAGAGGAAAGGGAGTAACTCCCRTCAGGTTTCCTTCCACGCAGTATAACTCCTGGGACGTCAGGGAGAGGCCATGGAAGGTTATGCCGCCGTCGTGGGGGGGCTTAGTTTTAGACTAAAGGCTGCTCTGGTGCTCACAACTTAAAAGCAGGTCTCAAGTGTTCACATGGTTTCCAAGTAACTCAACTATGTTCTTAGGCTCAAGAATATTTATAGGAATAAATATACAGTACCTAAGAAGGGGAAATGTACAAGTCTGAAATCTAGTAAGAATCACCCAGCATGCAAAATAATCAGGAAAATAACACAGCAATAACACAGATGATAGTTAGTACAGACAGACCTTAGAACTRTTATCCCAAGCTGGACCTGCAGCTGCACCCCTGTCCCAGCTACTTGGAAAGCCGAGGCAGGAGGATCACTTGAGCCCAGGGGTTCAAAGCCAACTTGGTAAACATAGCAAGAACCTTTCTCTCAAAAAATAGTTATTACAGACATATTCCAAGAGTTCAAAAATAAAGGAAAGATTGAGCATAGTGTAGAACCTGCTCATACCAGATTATAAGGGCCAATTGTTAAATAATCAGGAATTTTGCAAACACAATTATTAATCATCAGTAGCTTAGAATGGGCTGAAGTGTGTACTCATGGAATTGGCAAGCACTGCCAATTGGGCATTTTTAAATTTTGGAGAGATAGTTTATTAGCACACCAGCAGACATTGTGTACATAAAAGAGACCTAAATCAAGCTTCTAGAGATGAAAACCACACTGTAGATAGATTAGACACTGAAGAAGACAGGTTAGTGAACTTGAAGACACCACAATAGAAACTRCCCAAAATGAAGCTCAGGGAAAAATGAGCTGACAGGACAAATGAACTGAGTATTGGTGTGGGACAACKACAGGTGACCTGGTATACATGTCTCAAAAGAGGAGAAAGAGAAAGGAAAAAACAAAAATATTTGAATAAATGATGAATAAAAATTTTCTAAGTTTCATGAAAACTAAAGTCATAAATTGAAGAATTTTAATAAACCCCAAGTCTAAGACACACAACACACACAAACCTATGCCAGGGCATATAAAAATAAATCCCTTAAAGCCAGTATTGATAAAGAGAAAAAATTTAAAGCAGCCCGAGAAAAAGATATTTTACATACAGAGGAACAATTATAATAAAGAAAATCTCTTCAGAAACCAAGCAAACCCAAGAATAGTGGGGCAACATTTTTAGAGTACCAAAACATCACTCCCAGATTAAAATTCTACACTCAGTGAAAACAACTTACAGTGAAGGCAAAATACTTCCTTAAACATATGGTAGCTGATAGAATCTCTCAGCAGCAACTTGCACCACCACCACAAAAAAAAAAAAAAAAAAAGGTACAGGAAGTCCTTCAGGAAGAAAGTGGTTATCAGATAGAAATTTAGAATTTGATATTCAAACCCCTGGTAACCTCTACTCCATTTTTGGTGTGTATGTGTCTGCTTTGGACAATCATATAAATCAAACCATACAATATAGTTGTCCTCCCCCATCCATCAGGGATACATTCCAAAACCCTTAGTGGGTACCTGAAACCATGCATAGTACTGAGGCCTATAAATACGATGCTTTGCCTTATACAAAAATGTCTATCATAAAAGTTTAATTTATAAATTAGCCACAAAAAGATTAACAATAACTAATAATGACTAGAAAAATTGTAACAATATATTAAAATAAGTTATTTAAAACATAGGAATTTCTGGAATTTTTCCACTTAATATTTTTGGATCATAGTTGCCCTTGGGTGAATAAAACTATGGAAAGCTCAGCCTCGGATGGCGGGGGACCACTGTAAGAGGCTCTGTGTCTGGCTTCTTTCACTGAGCACAATGCTTCAGGGTCCTCCGTGTTATAACACAAGTTGGTAGGTACTTCATGTCTTTCTGTGGAGTGAGAGACCGCCTGTGTTTATCTACTCATTAGCCAATGAAYGCAGGCTTGTTCCTATTTTCTGGCTATGGTGAGTAAGCTGTTACAAATGTCCACATACAAGCCTTCCTGTGGACTTGCATCTTTAGATTTTCTTGCGTATCTACCCAGGAGGAGAACTGCTGGATCATACTTTGTACTCAGCRATGATATTCTTTTGGGGTCGGATTCATGTGTATTCAGGTTAAATGGAGAGTCCTAAGATTTGTCTCAGCTTGAAGCTCGAGCATGGCTGAGGCATTGGCCAACACAAGGAGTGCTGTTGTCATGTTCCTCTGTCCCTGGAAATTCAGAAGGCACAAAGGAAAAATTTAAAATGACGACTGTGATTGTCTTAGAGACCCATCCCACTCATRGCTGTTTCCTCCTTCTGTTCTTTCTTTTTAATTTAATTTTTTTTTTAGTTGTAGGTGGACACAATACCTTTATTTATTTATTTTTTACGTGGTGCTGAGGATCGAACCCACCTGCCACACGAGTGTGCTACCAYTGAGCCACATCCCCAGCCCCTCTCCTTCTGTTCTGTCAATTTCCCTCTCTCCTATTCCTTCTCTTTGTTCCCTGAATAAGGGCATCATTTTTACATACCTCAGTARTTTATATTCTTTATTTCCCTTTCCAGGCCTTTCTAAAATGTATATTGACATGATTAGAGGAGAATCATTGATCATTTGTAGTGTTGCCTGCATTTTTTTTGGAATTTTTCGGGTCAGCTCAGAACAGCTTACCATGTTTACAGGTAGGACCATTTTGGGGGCCTGTACATCTTCTAAAGTCCTTACTGAAATGAAAATGCTTCCAAGGTGTCTCTACTGCTCTCCCTATACTTTATTCTTGAACCAATTAAAATSATGTATTGGTTAACAAGAAAAAGATGCCCATTAATGTGTTTTTTTGGTCAGTAYAGGGCAAAGAACATGAAAAAAAGTATTTTATCTCCCTTGATATGCGTATATATATATATATGGGGGGGCTGAGGGGTGGTTTCAGTGGTGGAATGCTTGCTTCACATGTGTAAGGCTCTGGGTTTGATTCCTAGCACTGTGCTTGCATTTGTGCA